TGTCCTAGCCTTAGGATCAGCCATTTCTCCAAGGACCCTTAGTTCTTTATTGGAGAATGGTATTTAGAAACTAAGATGTAGCCCCAACGTATTTTACAGCAATTAATACCAGTCTGTGTCTAACATGATCGAATCTAGATTATGGCCCCATCTGAAACTGAAATTGAAGTTATTCTGACAGTCTTTCCACTTCCCAACAGCCTATGGCTTCACTTCCCTTCCTACCTATCCAAGAAACCTTGGTCACTTGTTTATACTGTGGCTACCAGCATTCTCAGTCAATTGTGTTCATTTGACTACCTTTGCTTTGTCAGTCACTCAGCCATGGCTAAACTCAGCCATTGGATTTCCTTATGTAGCCACTAGCGATACGACATTTTAACATTTGACTTTAATGGTGCGGGGGAAGATTTTTTGGTTTTGGGCTCTTGTTTTGGTTTTGTAGCTCTAAATGGGCCTTTAATATTTGTGTCATCTGTGCATTCAGTAAACATGTATTGGGCCCTTACTGTGTCCTGGGTACTAACCTAGTTTGAGGATAAAAAATGACAGGTCCCGCCATCAAGTACTTCATAGTCAGGTGAAAGAGAGACACCATTAATTGCAGGTTTCCCAATCCTGACCCCATTTTTTTAGCAGATGATTTACTTCCTATTACATGGAGATGATGAATTTCTTTACTTCCCTTTCCCTACATTTATATAGTCACTGATACTAGTTTACCTCCTTATCTTTTCTTGGGAGTGAAACAGTTTGCCTTTGCAAGGCCAGCACTGCCATTTGTGCACTCAACCTCACTTGTTTTGATGATATTTTCCCCTTTCATCTTCAGTCTCTCCTGGGTTCCCTTTTGTCACCCTGTAAGCATGTTATCTGTCCCTCTGTCCTTCTGCTTCCACTTGCGAACTTCAGATCTAGTCTCTTTTGATTGCCACAGTTAGTGCAAGTAGTTTACACTTAGTTCTTCTCTTTTATTCACCCCTCAGGCCACTTTGTTCAGCACCTATCATTTACGAAATTGTTTCTTAGAAACGTCAGCGATCTGGTTGCCAGCTCCAGTGGTCTTTCAGTCCTTTGCCTCTTAGATCTTACTAAGAAGCAACCATGTGCATCTCAGAGCTCTGGTCCCTTGGAGTGTGGGGCTAATAACTCCTCGTTCTCCTTCAGCCTTTTTGACTCTTTGTCTCCTTCATAGCTACTTCTGTCCCTTAAATGTTGGTGTCCCTGTCGTGTGTCCTTTCCCTTACTCTTGCCTTTCACCCCCTTAAACAAGTTGTATCCATCCACTCTTCAGCTATCCCAAATTTTAAGCCCAACCTTTTCTCTCAACCTGGCAGACTGCTTACAGGACATTTTCATCTGGATGTCCCACAGATAACTCAAAATGAACATGTAAGACGGGGAAATAATCCTTTATATTCCCCATCCCACTTAACAGTGTTACTACCCCTTGATCATTTATACTTGAAACCTCAGAATCATCTTTCAATTCTCTTTCAAATACCAACATTCATTTGATTACCAATCCTGTCAATATTACCAATATAGTGTATCTCAACTTTATCTCTTTTTATTTCCACTGTTCTAGTACTCACCTTGGCTAGTGCTCAGGTCTCATAACTGATTTCCCTGCTTCTAGTCTCCCCGAGCCAATCATCCATCTTCCGCACTGCCACCAAATCCCTCCCTAAAATTTTTTGCTTTTAGGAGAAGTCTAGTCTCCTTGATAGAAACTTGAAAACCTTTCCAATCTAGGGTGCTTTTCTTCTTCATATCTCATACCCCTTTCTCCTGCTTACTCTCCCTGCCCCCAACACACACCCTCTAGGTACTTTTCTTCCCTTGTCTGCCCTAGACAGAATTAACTTATTTGATCTTTCTCCTTATATAGCTCCTTGCCCATACCCCTAGTCTGACACGTAATTTTCTGGTTGCTTGTTGATGTATCTTCTTGCCTTTCTAGACTCTGAGATCCTGGAGGGCAGGAATCACACATCTCTTTGTAGACCCAGCACCTAGTGAAATTCCTTTTTAAGACTGAGACCTAAGGGCGCCTGGCTGGTTCAGTTGGAAGAGCACAAGACTCTTGATGTCAGGGTCGTGAGTTTGAGCCCCACCTTGGATGTAGGGATTACTTCAATTAAAAAAACAAAACAACAGAATAGATATTTCTGAGTTAAGTGAATAAACAACTCACTTTAGCCCTGTAGACATGGGGGTCACAGGTAACTTAGTGGGCCACTGCAGACTTGAATCGGGATCCTGATGAAGATCTTTGTGTATGTGGAATCCAGGGAGACTTTATTTCTATACTGAGGTTCTTTCTCAGGACCTTCCTAATCCCTCAGCTCTCAGATTCTTACCCCTTCTATCACCACCTCACCTCATAAACCTGGCTGGAATGTTTCTGTCTTTGAAAAGGAGTGGTTATCCAAGGCTTTGGGTGAGGAGACTGCCTTCCTGCCTGATCCTTGCCTTGTTCCCCTCTGGAGGAGGTAGTCTCCTGAGACACTCCAGACACAAGAAGTTATTTGATCTTCAACTCCTG